TATAATCTCTTTCTACTACTCTACCTATTCCAAGATCCTGAAATTTACTAAAGGAAACCTAGAATCCAAAATTTCTGCTTCTCCTCCTCCATTCATTTATCCAATATCCACCCCATAGCCCCCTGATGTTTCCAAACTCTAAATATAAGAAGAGACTGCTGCACTGAGTGGGTGTTTGGGCTTCATGGCATTTAAAGTCCCTTCCAACACTAAAATTTTAAGGCTACCATTCACAGCAAGCTTTAATAATGAATGGAAGAATCTCAAAGCTGAAAGACCAATGATACACCCAGTTATCCTGTAATCTGTGGTAAAATTCATAAAAATATTGGTCCTAATACTTCTCTTTTCCTTCAGTAATTCTTTTACTTTATTAAAAAGGATTCCTCTAATAAAATGTTTGCCAAAAGAAAGAAAGAGTAAAAGAGAGGTGGAAAAGAAGGCAAAATACGTTCCCAGTGTTTAAACATTCTTTATTTTTCAATCTTAGCTTTGAAGTTTTAAGAAATTTTAGTATCAACAGATTTTACCATTCCTGATTCCTCAAACACCTAGCTGCCGATGGGACTGGGACCAGCCCTCAGAGAAGCGGAGAGGGAATAAAAACAAAGACAGAGGGGATGACAGTAGCTGGGCAAGGGGAGAGTGTTGGCTTTGTCTCACCTAACCCTAAGTAGGGGCAAACACCAAATGTTGCTTTGCTCATTAGTAAGAGGTGAATTTTTTTCCTACTGCTTTCAAACAAGAGTGAGTGGGAAGAGGAGGCTCAACTATAATAAAGAAGAACAGGTAAATAATACATGGCTTGTTTCAAATAGAAATGCTTTCTGTAGTCAAGAATGACTTCAACTGAGACACAAAATGGGAGAAAACACCATCTGCATATACAAACCTTTTTTTTCTTTATAATACCTACTATCTCTTGTTAATAAACATGATTTTAACTTGTTCTTCTAAATCATATGTGGTATAACCTTATCTTTTAAACTTCCATTATATTTCACTGAAAATATAACACTCTCCAGGAATAACTTGGCAATCCATTTATAAAATACAGAGGGCCCCATGGGATAGCAAAAGGTTGGTCTATCACACAGGAAATAAAACTAGTCTAATTCTGACCCATATGCCCAGCAATAAACTTAAACCACTTCTCACTTATTAGTATTTTCTCAGGTTTTATAATAAACATAATTCACAAGTCATAAAATTTTCAGGTCTTTTTAAAATAAAAGTATTCCAATGTTTATCAACTCTCCCAGGGCAGAGATTTTAATTCTGAGGCATTCCCTAAGTTTGACCTCTTGCGAGGGAGGATTTCCTTTGAGACAAGTAAATGTAACATGATCAAGTGGATCCTTGTGCTACCTCTTTAAAGACAAGGCAGGAAAAAGGGCAGCAATTTTTACAGTATCATTCTGTCATCACAAACCTCAAAAACATTCCTATAGGCTCCCCTCTCTCTTTCTAAACTAAGTAATCCCTGTGTTTATCACCTTCCCAAAAAACCCCACATGACTTGTATAAAGTTCTCTGTATACTCTTGGGTTTTCTGGAACCTTCTGAATTAAAGTTATTGTCTTCTTTAAGAGGAGAGAAGCAGACAACTGCATAAACAACTCCACTTCTTTCATATTCTCTACCTTCCCTAGTATCTGTTTAAAATTCTGCCTGACATCCTTTACCTTTGGCTGCTCTTTTTGGATGGACAGGGGTCTACAACCAAACATTTATATTTTCACTATCACTATGCTTTTAGAAGGGCATGAAAGTACTACCACTTGGTGAAAATTCAATATACAAATCCAAAATTAAACAAGATTTTAAAAATTATGTATCTTCTATTCTCTCTAATCCCAAGCTAAAACTCATGTTTTACAAAATTATGCCCCTAACTGAATCAGGAAGCAATATTCTTTCTTAGACTGCATCCACTTCTGGACTATAAGGCATGTGTAGTTTATAAATCGCAGGAATACCCTGCAGCCTCCTAACACCCTGGTTGTAATTGCTACCTTTACACATATTTCAGCCAGCAGTCTATTTGACACCTACATTCATCACTGCTGAAAAATCAGAATACATTCTGTTCGTTTAAAATTTTTATTTTCTTTCACCCTAAGGACCGGTGAAAGAAGTGCAACAATGCTGGAGAAGGGATATGCTTATGGCCCAGGAGGAGAAAGACTCCTGAAAAATCAAGGGGGAATGCCAGGCAGCCTGGCTTGAGCCACACACATCAGCATCTCTAACCACCAAATGTTTTCAAAGGTGATTCCCAACCACTGTTTCAACTTCGACTCCATGTGCTTTCCACCCAAGATGCATCAGAGAGTTAAGAGTGTATCTTCGGCAATATGCGAGCTCTGTGTTCCATTCAGTTGATCTATACTTAGAACCTGCATAAGCTTGGAAAGGTACGGAGCAGATGAAGCGGTAAGAAACTCCTCAGAAGCAAACAAATAACCTTCAGGCACACAAGGTCCAAACCAGTGCAGCTTTATAAAGTACATCCTTAATGGAATTCCAGAGGACACACACTCTAGCAAAGGTGGAATAGGCAAAACAGCTTTGAGTTTGCTTGTCGCCTATAGTTCAAAAAACTAAGCCAAGGGTAACAAAAGCACACCAGCAGATCTCTCCCCCTCCACCCACCCACATATACATACAGACACAAAGAGAAGTGGATTGCAATGCTCCTTCTAGTCTCTCATTGCCACAGACTTCTCATAAAAAGAACAATGAGAAAGAGAAAATTCCGATGCCTTGAGGTGAATTACAGTTGGCAAGAAAGGGGTTAAGCAGCACTACTTTTCTGGAAACTTTCCAATCCCCTAGCTCTGAATGCAATTCTCACTACCTGTGCTCCGTATTCTTTCTTTTTTTTAACAGTTCAGTAGGCTAAGAGTTAAAACCAACACCTCAGAAAGAAAAAGAGAACTTGGTTTGGCTCCACCCTCTGTAAAGCAAATACCAAAAACTGAGCCAAATCCACTCAGCATATACAAGACTCCCTGGACATTCCAAAATACAGGTGAAGTTTCCTCCGGTATCTCAACTTTCAGCACCATGCACTTCGATTGCCCCAATTTCACTTGTGAAACACACAAGTGTTAGATAAAACAGCACAAATAAAATTCTATTTAAGAACTTGAAAAACATTTACAAAAGTCACCGAGTTCACTATATATCAGCAGGAATAACTGGAATTCGGGTGAGGAAGGTCAAACAGTACCCATGGAAACAACAGCAAAACAAAAATAACAGATATATATACAGAAATAAAAAAGCAATACAGACCCTAGAACTTAAGTCTTAAAAGGAAAGCTCTCTGAGTGTCAATTCCTATCCTAAAGAAACATAAGGAAATGTTGCTTTAATCACCACAGGGGGTGGGTCATCACTACCATTAACCCAACATTTCTGGAAAAAAAAAGATGTTCACCAGATGAAAAACAGGCAGTTGCTGACAGCCCATAAGTCACTGGAAAGGACAGTCCAGAAGCACCTGCCTTGCTAGAAATAGGTAGGAAGAGATGAGTCACTATTTTAATTCTGCTTAGGACTCTCCACATCTCAATCCGCTAGGTCCCAAAGCAACATTTTCTTCCTGTTTCCATCATTTTATCAGTTTTCTTCCCAAAGTTGTGGAGTTGGGTCAGAATACTGAAGGTTGGGGATAAGAGAAAAGAGAAAGAGCAAAGAGTCAGAATCCAGTTGGTTAGTACAAAGAGATACTGGGGTGGGGGCATAATTACCTGGAAGACAAGACTAAAGAACTACATTTACAACTAGCAAATGATTACTAAGATCCAAGACTCCCTCTCTTGGATAGTGCCCCATAGCTTTCAAAGCTTTTACAGTAAAAAGCAAACAGCTCCCTGGAGAAAGGAGTAAAAAAGATTTATTGAAGGCAAAGGTAATGAAATATGATAGTGTCACATGAATATCAGTATTCCTTCAGACTTGGATTGGAAGTCACTGGCACCTGAGGAAAGCTATACTCTTCTACAGGTCAGAAAAGGAATGTCACTAGCCTGTCACACAGGAGGTGGCAGACGAGCTGAGATGGTTATCATGGGAAACATATAAAAAGCAATTCAATTACTCAGAAACTTCTTGCACTTGCAGCCTAACTTCTTCCCCACGGGGAGGTTTAAATCACCATCCTAGGTCAAGAGGGGCATCATCATCATGAGAAGTTCTAACCCCCTGAAAAGTGATAAGCAACAGGGCAAAGAGACAGGTTCTCTGGATGGAGAAATACCGGGAAGGAAATCAGCGTCATGCCCAAAGACCATAGGACCTGGGCAGGAACCCATTCCTGCAATCACAAGGACAAACATGCAAGGGAGGAGGGAAGGGAGGGCCCAAGTCAGGTAACATTCCAGAGGGGAAGGATTATCAGGTGACACCGGGCTAAGGGCCCAGAGCTGGGGCTAGGAGCGAGGAAAGTTAGCAGGTGAAAGGGATCAGTCTTGAGAAGGAAGTGACCTTTAGGCGAAGCAAATAAGAGGATACCAAAAAAAAAAGGGGGGGGGCAGTAGGAGTAAGAGGGAAAATGGACCCAGAAAAGCACAGAGAAGGCGTGTGCGGGTAACAGAGAAGAAGAAAGGAAGTGGGGCTGAGAAGGAAGCGATGGGGCTGAGAGGGAAGCGATGGGGCTGAGAGGGAAGCGATGGGGCTAAGACCCGCCGGGCTATGGGGGCGGAGGGCAGAGCTTGCGGGCGGGGAGGGACGGCGTGGGGTGGGGGGGGTGTATGAAGAAAGCCCCGAGGCTGCCGGGGCGAGAGCCGGGTAGGACTCCGGGGTTTCCCGAGGTCCTGGAGAGGTAGGATGTCGGACTGTGGAGCCCGGGACCCAGCAAACCGAGAAAGAGAGGCGCGGGGGCGGCTCCCTAGAGACGGGCATTCACCCCTGGGTCCGGCTGTGGGGGTCTCTGTGGACCGGAGGGCGGTTACGGGGCCAGGCTGAGGAAACCGGGTGGGAGGGACACTCACAAATTTCTTGGATTTGCCGCCGTCGCCGCCGGCCGCAGGCAGCTCGTCCGGGCTCCGGCCCTTCTTCTTGTCCCGGGTCCCGCGGCCGGGACCCTGGCCCCCGCCGAGCGGCTCCATGTCCAGGTTCGCCCTGACAGATGACCCCGCACCTACGCGGCTCCCGCCCGGCACCTCCCGACCCGCCGCCGCCTTCGCCGCCGCTAACGCGCCGCCGCCGCCCAGCAGCTCCTCAGCCCGCCGCCGCGCCCCGCCTCATTAGTATGCCGGCCTGCGCGCGCCTCATGAATATACAACGACGACGCCTCGCTCCCGCCCGCCTGCCCCACTTCCGCCCGGACCCGCAGCTCCTACCAATGGGGGAAGGGAGGGGGGTGGAAGGAAGCCGCGGAAGCAAGCTACCTGCCCGGCGGGCCTAACCATTCGGACCCACGTGGGGGGGGGCTGTGTAGGAGGTGCAACTCTGCGGCCTCAACCCGGAATGGCGCCACCTGGCGGTCTGCGCGGCGCAGGCCTCCCCGCTCCCACGCAGTGCCCACGTGGCTGTGAAGCCCAGACCCTCTCACATCCTAGACCAGGTGAACCAAAAATCAAATAAGAGAGAGTGTCGTCTTGGCCGAAAATCCAGTGCCAGTCTTTCGAGGATAATACAGTTTTTATGTGTGCACTATCAGCGGAGCACATGAAAAAATTTAAAAGGGACAGCTATCATTTATTGAAAGCTATGTGCCAAAAACAGAGCTTGGTCCAGAGCAAGTGCTAGACTGGAACTCAACTAGCCCTGGAGTTACATTACCTACTTTTGAATCGCAGGTCTGCTATTTTCTAGTTTTGTTTTTTAATCTGAAAAACTATTGCCAACATGTGACTACACAGTAATAATAATTACCATTTACCGTGCACTTGCTCTAAGCCAGGCACTATGTAAAACTCCTGTTTTTCCTCACTGAATCTTCACATTGTCGTGTGATAGATTCCACTAGTCTCACCACTTTACAGACAGAAAATTTGGACTTCCAGGAGTTAAAGTGACTTGCCCAGGGACATATAAATGGTAAAAAATTTAAACCCAGCTTAGTCTGGGAAGGCCTGTTTGACCAAGATTTCCTACTGACATAAACCAAACCTGAGTGAAAAGAGCAGGTGTTCTCCAAGAGTGTTCTTTGATTGACCAGCTTGATTCCTCCCTCAATTTCATCCATTCTTCCAGCTACATCTGTTCCTCTTGTGAAAAGTTAGTGGCACCTGGTAGGCCCTCAAAGTATGGACTTACTTATCTTACCCGCAGCTGGAAAAGATTTCAAATATATGTTCCTGGAGGGCAGAGTCAGTGACTCAACATCTCTGAGACCCCGGTGCTCAGTCTGGGGCCTGGGATATTACAGGGACTCTCCAATGCTGGCTGGCTCATAAAGCTGGTTTCGTTCCATTTTCTAATCGCCTGATGGAAAGCTGCAAAGAACTGTCCGGCCCACACTTCAAACTCAGTTTGTCCAAAACAGTTAAAAAACTACTTACTTTCTAAGCTAGAATACTGACAGACAAGACAGGATCAAAGCATGGAAGGAGTGATCCATCTATCACTCTTCCTTCTCATACCACTGTCTACATCTGCTATAACATTTATCTCACTTCTTACTAGATTATAGATTGCTCCAGGGAAAGGTTCACATTTGTGGTTACTATAGTATCTACCATCACTCTTCACATACACATTAAGATAATGAGCAACTGGGTGGCTCAGATGTTTAAGCGTCTGCCTTCGGCTCAGGTCATGATCCCGGCGTCCTGGGATCGAGCCCCGCATCGGGCTTCCTGCTGAGCGGGGAGCCTGCTTCTCCCTCTCCCTCTGCCTCTCTCCCTGCTCATGCTCTCTCCCTCTCTCTCTCTCTCTCTCTGTGTCTCAAATGAATAAAAAAATATATATTACAGACATCCTCTTCTAACTTGTTTAAAAAAAAAAAAAGATAATGAGCAACTACTTACGTTGGGCACTGTGCTAAGCACTTGACGTGTTTTATCCCAATGTATCTTCACCAACCAGCACCACACCATTTCAAACACCCAGGTTCAAAAACCTGAACTCATCTTCTACTCCCTCTCTTAAGCCAGTAATCTGCCCAGGTTTGTCTAACTGGTAACTAGAATGCTCTACTAACTCCTTAATATGAGTAACACAATCCACGTAGAATGCATACACAGGGCCTAACGTAAGTGCTGAATGAATGTTAACTATGATTTTTATTATATACATCATCACCCCCCTTCCTTCTCCCTTCATACACAGTCAGCTAGCAAGAATTAAGAATATTCCCAGGAAGGCAAAAGGTACAAAAAATACCAACTTGGTTTATTGGATAAAAACAGTGATAAAATGGACACAAAGCCAAAAGTTAGAACAGGACATTTTCACATCCTCCCCGGACTCAAAACCGTACTTCCTATCATCTGGGGTTAAGGTGTTAGGGAGCCAGAGCCCCCCCCCAAATCCCTCACTCTTCACCTGCACTGGAAACAAGGCCTGCAGTAGGAGAACCCAGGAAAGGAGAAAGTCAGAGGCAAAGTCAGCCCTGTCTACACCCTCATCCCTAAAAGTCTCTGGGTTGGAGGGAAGCAGGGAAGGAGTAAGGGGGCCAAAGTGGCTGGGACCAGCCTCTAGGGCCCACTCCCCAAGATGTCCTAGAGGAAGTTATCCTTGTCCCCATCCAATCCCTAATAAGTACCATTGTCAGGCCTTGGGAAAAAGAGGAAAGGGGATAGTTGGTTCAAAAACCAGATGTGGTCTCCAAACCCTCTTCCAGCATTGGGTAAAAGCCCGGAAAGTGACTGTCCAGGGCTGGGGGCGCCACACCTTTTCCCTCCTGACCAAACAAGAGGTAAAAAGGAATTCCTTGGGACAGAGCAAGCCCAGCTGCTCTTAAATCTCCACGTCGCTTTCCTTGTCATTGTCATGGTCTCCATCATAGAACTCGTTGGGTGCCTCTGGCCTGCAAAGCAAGGGAGACAAATCAGGGTCCTATTCTCCAAGTTCTCATCTTCTCCCACACAGCTACCCTCTCTGGAACCACTTATTAGGCCCCTTTTGTCGAGGAACCACTCCTCTCCTGTTGGAAGATACTGGTCACTATCCATCCCATCCACTCATGCAGTCAATAAACATTTATGGAGAGACACTCTGTGCCAGCCACCATCACAAGCCTCAGCGATACAGTAGAGATAGAAGTTGGATAAAATTTCTGCCTATCCTCAAAAAACTTACCGAATAAACAAGACTGACAACAACTAACAAAGTAAATAAATAAAGATGGTAATTTCCCATGGTGGCAAGTGCTCTGACACAATGAAATGAAGGGATGTGACCGAGGGTGAAGGAAGGAAAAGGGTAAATTTCAGGCAGAATTATTAGAGACAGCTGTTTTAGGAAGGTAAGACTTCAAGTCTGAGACGGGGCTGGCCAGGCAGAGATCTCAGGAAGCCCATTCTGAGCTGCAAGAAAGCTAAGTACAGAGTTGGAGGGAGACTGACGTATTCCAGTAAGAGCACAGAGGCCAGGATGGCAGGAAGCGGTGTGCGGAGAGGGGAGTAGTTACAGATGAGACCATGGACGTAGGGAAGCACCAGCACGTCTTTTAAAGCCATGGTCAGAGAATGGAGTTTTGTTCTAAGAGCAATGGAAAGAAGAGTTGTATGTGGGGGAGCGAGTGAAGGGATGTGAAAGCAACACAGGGCCCAGTAAGTACTCAATACTGATTTCTTTCTTTTTGGAAAACTCTTCTCTGAGAGAACACAAACAACTGAAAACTGAATTACCTTGCCCACAGCTAATAACTAAGAAAGAAGGGAGAAAGTCATCAATGAGAAGCTGGGAAACAAAGTCAGGAAAGGCCCTATCTGCCTGGTAAGCAATGTCTCAGTTACCTCTGAGTGCCTCAGGTGTGGAGGTGTGGAGTCAGAGACTCAGGTTTGATTCCCAGCCCTGATATTTAACTAGCCGTAGGACCTCTGGCAAGTTACTTAACCTCTCTGAGCCTTAGATTCCTCCTCTGGTAATTTACGGTTAACAGCCACCTCTCAGGGTTGTCTGGTAACAGTAGAATGATGACGTGATGATATGTACATTTTAATATAATGCATTTAGTATTGAGTCTGGTTCTTAGCAAACCCACAAAAAGTTGTAACTCCTATTATTACTACTCTGCAAGTGATATGCAAGTTGGAGCTATAGGCATCAAAGAACAGGAGCTTGGTGGGTGGTCTGACAGTGAGGGAGGGTTTAAGGCAGGAAGAGGCCTGAGCTTCTGCTGGCTGTTGAGAGGGGTGGTACTTTACAGACACTAGACCCAGATACCAGCCTAGAACCAGAGATGAAAAAGCCCAACTTTGCCAAAAGGAGTAATTTAAAACAGGTTTTTTTTTTTTAAATCTATTTCTAGGGGCGCCTGGGTGGCTCAGACGTTAAGCGTCTGCCTTCGGCTCAGGTCATGGTCCCAGGTCCTGGGATCGAGCCCCACATCGGGCTCCCTGCTCAGTGAGAAGCCTGCTTCTCCCTCTCCCACTCCCCCTGCTTGTGTTCCCTCTCTCGCTGTGTCTCTCTCTGTCAAATAAACAAATAAAATCTTAAAATAAATAAATAAAAATAAAAAAATCAATTTCTAGAAGTCAAGCTTCAGAGACCTGAAGAAGCTGACAAGGAGGTGAGACGTTAAAAAGGAATCCTTAGGCCAGATGTTCAGATACTTCCTCAACAAGGAGTGGGAATAAGGGAGTGTTCATGGAGGAGAAGGAATGGACTGGTCCCAAAGGTCCAAGTAGCAAAGCTCAGGTCTAAAGGAGAGATGTGGAAGCTGACCTCTGTATTAATACAGAGAAGCAGAGTCTGGAAGGGTCTGAGAAGGCCATGTGACTCTGCAGCAGAGTCAGCTCAAAGCTCTAACACTGCGTGGGAGGTGCAAGCGTCCAGCTGTGGTTATCCCTCAGCCACGTAAGGATATCTGTTCTCCATTAAGTACATCTGTTTCTCCACTTCTGTGTTCTGTTGTCTCTCCCCTTCATTTTCCAGACAAGCCTATTCTGGGATTAAAAAACAACAACAACAACAACAACACCTCTATCCTAATCTCTTTTTTTCCTAATTCAATGCATCTGTAAATATTTTAGTATGTATCTCAGAAAAATAAAGATTAAAAAAATAACAA